TTAACCTCAAATGGTAATATACTGTATGACTACATTTATAGAATTTCCTTGCGATGAAAAAAATTATGGAAATACACAACTAATTCTTGGTTGTCAAAGGATAAGAAGGAAAAGAGAGCAGTGGGGTGATAAAAGCAGCATGGGAGATCTTTGATGTGACTGGTACATTCTGTACCTTGATTGTATCAATTAATCATCCTTGCTTTGATATTACACTACTAGGAAAAACTGGGTAAAAATTACCTGGGATACCTGTATTACTTTTTACAACTATAATATGAATCTACAACTATTTCAAAATAAAAGGTTTAATTTTCTTAAAATAGAATATTTTAAGCACATTCTCAAATTCTGAGTACTTCAAAGTCAAAGATCTCCTGCCCAAAAATTTACACTCTAAATCAAGAGGAAAAAAAAACCAAATTTTAGAAGTTACCATAATTTAAAGGTAAGTATATGAATACATACAGTATCTCTGTTTTAAAGTAAATACTATGTGTTAGGTACAGAAAAGTTTGTGAATGGCTAGAAAAATATATTAAAATTAAAATTCATCCTAATATGCAGGCATATGTTTTACAGGTTTTTTTAAAGATAAAAAAGGAAACCAGTACAAAAGCTATTTCAAACATTTAAGATATTTTTATACAATATACATAATGTATAACAAAGATTTATCAATTGTTTCAATCTTTCATTTTGTACCATTTATCACTTAGTAACTTAAATTTATATCTAGCCTTAGAGTAATAACTTCCACCAGTTACATATTTTTCTGGATTTTAACTACACTACCATAACTGGCAAGACAGGAATGTTCATACTCTGTTCAAACTAAGTCATGTACTTTAAGTACTATAAATACCAATTTTCAATCTTTGCATCTTTTAATCAAAAATAAAGCCAAACAAAGTAAGGTATTATGATAAAGATAAATAATATTCAAAATAAGATTTGATATGTTTCTAGATATAATTTGGCATCTTGCCTATAAATCCTTCTCTTTAATAAACATTCATGTATTAATTCACACTGGCCTAGGCATGATACAATAATGTATACGAAAGGCAAAAGCCCTATATTAAATTCGAAGGTGAAAAGATACACAATAAAAGAAATCCCTCCCAAAAGTTAGATGTTAATAAATTCCATGAGAAAAAATACATGGCAGAGGGGGATGCAAGGTGTAGATGACATGGACATTGACTTTTATTTCACGTGGGATAGATCTGGATGGCCCTTTAACAGTGACATTTCAACAATCTCAATAAATGAAAGCCTAAGACATGCAGATATCGAGGCTAAGAGCTCAAATATAGAGAACAGCAAATACCAAAGTCCTAAGAGAAAGCAAGTATGTCGTGTTCACTGCACACCAAAGTAGGCAGTGTGACAGATGTACATAGAGAATGAAGAAGAGGAGAGCAGTAAGAAGGCTAGACAGGGCCTAACAACTCCTCATTTTCGTGGGCATTTTTCAAGTCTTGAAAAAAGTTCTATACATTCTGTTCAATTAATCACATTTTGATAAAAATTGCAAAACTTACGTATTAAGCACCAATGATTAGAATCACTGTTGCTTTATGTTCTGATTTCTCTGTAACACTTCATTTTATAGTAAATAGCACCAGAGTAGTCAGAGGCATGTCAGAATCCAGTTAACTAGTAGATGAGTTGGGATATACTTAGTTTGAGTTTAGCAAGATATATTCATTAATTTATTTTCCACTTGCTTCTAGGCATAAATAATTGATTGCTAGTGGTCCATGAAAGAGTAGTTATTCACTGTGCTGACATAACTTGTCATAATAAAAAAAGATCAGAGGCCATACTAACATAAAGACATGGCCCAGTGTACCAAGCCCTGAAATCTTATAGGTAATGACCAAGAAATATGATTTGAAGTTCAGAGCCAGAAGATTCTCAAAACTTCTTCCAATCACCAGACATGTAAAGTAGTAAGGAGAGCACTTGATTCTTAACAGGGAATAGTTAAAATCGAAGTTCTCCTATCAGTGGATACAATTATAATTATTATAAATGCACCAAAAATTTATGGATTTTTTTTTACTGATAGGAATTTTACTACAGATAGTTTTTTGTTAACTCTTGTGTTTTAGAACTACTGCTTGCAACAGAATTCAAAACACAGTAAATCTGTGTTAATTTACATAGTGTTAACTATTCCAAATATCAAAAAAAAATTTTTTTTTTTGTATGAGGTATTAAACTCAGGACCTTGTGCATGAGAGGCAGGTGGCGGCACCACTGAGCTAAATCTCTGGCCCCCCCTAATAGCCAAAATTTGAAAAGCATATTTGATCAGTAATCCAAGAGGAAAGACTAGATTATCTTTTCACTGTCTCTATAGAAAATATTATAAAAATTATCATAGGAAGAAATAAACAGCTTATATCGAATAAATGTTTGGAAAAGTATTACAGATATATTAGATGATTATTATATAAATATATAATTTTTCTGAATTTTTATTAAGCCTAATGTTCATCACTCTTTTAAAGTTAAAATACCATCATTAAAAGTAAATGCCTATGGAATCAATACGAGAAAAAGAAAAAAATGGAAACAAAGTCTTTGTAGACAGGGAGGGGTGGAGGGGTTGAAGGGAGGGCAGGGGAATGGGGAAAAAATAAGAACCAAGATGGATTATGTAAAGGTGCAAATTTCCAATGATGAATGTCATTATATTATATACCTTAAATGTGTCAATAAAATTAATTTTTTTTAAAAAAGTAAATGTCTGATGGGTATGGTGGCATACACCTATAATCCCAGTACTCAGCAGGCAAGTTTAAGGCCACCCTGAACTACATAGCAAGACCCTGTCTCAAACAAAATAAAACAAAACAAAATAATAAATACTTAATGGATAGGTTAAGCAGCATATTAAAAAGAAAGCCCTGAGTTTGATTCTCAATACACACACATGCAAACACGCACTCACACAGATAGTTAACTTGAAATCAGGTCTCAAGAAATAACCAAATTTCAGCAGAGATAAAAAGTTGGGAAAATGCTAAAGAGCAATTAATGATACATGGAGAAAAAAAGTTTACATCTAAGAGACATACACCTAAAAGGAGTTCCAGAATAACTAAGTATGGAGACCAAGGAGATGCAAGAATCAGAGAGAGAATGGGTAAAAATTTAATTTCAGAGCTATTAATCCTCGGACTGAAGAAGCAAAATGAGTTCTAATCAAACAATATAAAAATGAGTCTACATCCTAATGAACCCAACTTGTCAAGACAAAAACTTCAAAAGAAAATCTTAAACATAACTGACAAAAAGGGATTACACCTACAAAGTAAAACCAAATCTACAGAGAACAAAAAAGGATTATCTTTAGATCACTATCAATTTCCACAGCAAGATTATTACTAATTCAACAAGTATTTACAAAATCTTTACTAGATGCCAGATTCTATTTAGGCGCCTCTAGTGCACTGAGAAGTAAAAAAGAAATAGTCCCTGACTTCATACAACTTATATTTTAGTAAGAATTTTTCAAGAAGAATAAAAACAAAAAAGAAATTCTTTATTCTCTGCTCTCCTGGGATCCTGAAATTTTCATCTCATTGTAATTAAAACAGCTCAGAATACTGAGCTTTCTAAAGTACATATTTTTAAATAACTTACTTGATGGTATACCCCAGCTTCTCTTAATTGGTAGTACACAAAACCTCTGAAATTATATGGAAATTTGAATGTCTTTCTGTACATAAACAGTTTTCTATGAAGAACGTCCATATGTGTCATCAGATTCTCAAAGAGATCTGTGATGCAATTTCCTCTGACACCAATGCTTCCCCTCTCAGAACAGTTTGGTGCTACTCTTATGTCACCTACAGCAACTTATAATTCATCTTTCAGTACTTTCAGCCTATTATTATTTCTCCAGTGACTTCTCCAGTCATAGTAAACCATGAATGCAAGAGCTATGTTGCTCACCAGCACCTACCACAGAAACACATGGTACTAAACAAATATTATCAATAAAATGAACTACAAAATATATCTCTGAAATATACAAATACACTCCCTTGTTACAAAATTTAAGAACCCATCCTTAGAAAAATAACTCTTTATCTTTTCTTAATTGAATATTTTTTAATGTTGTCTATCAAGTCTATTAAACTACCTTAAAAGATCTTAATGTGGGCTGGGGATTTAGCTCAGGGGTTTCGGTGCCTGCCTTGCAATGCAAGCACAAGGACCCAAGTTCGATCCCCAGTACCAAAAAAAAAAAATCTTAATGTAAATATGTCTTTAAAATATGAAGTTTGTGGTAAAACTTATAAAACTTTGATTGTATTTATTTTTTATTTATTTATTTTTTGGTACCGGGGATCGAACTTAGGTCTTTGCGCTTGCACAGCAGGCAGCAAAACCACTGAGCTAAATCCCTGGCCCCACTTTGATTGTATTTTTAATGTAAGGTAACTGGCTAATAACATTAACTTCAATTCCTTAAACCTAGAAATTTGGAGACCTCGTTAGTTATATCAGTAAACATACTAAGCATTTAGAGATAATACCACTGTTGCTTCAATGTTTAAGAAAGTACATCATAAAAACACACCCTTACATATTTTTTCACATAAGAAATGTCACTAAGACATGAAATTCAATACATACAGAGCTTGATACATATATGATATATATATACATAATATATAAAATCTATCAAAAAGGAAGATCTAAATTTAAAGAAAAAAGGAGTCATGAAAGGCTTGGAGCAATGAATTACTTTCCTCCTAAAGATAAAGGGCAGTCAGTCAGTCCTCCAGGAAAGAAACAAACCAGGTGGCACCAAGGTTCTTTAAAACATGTAAGTCTATCCTTCAAAACACAGGCAGAAAATACTGTCAAATTCAAGTGGTTTTCTTTTTTTCTTTTTTAAAATGGAAATGTGATTGAGAAAAGAAAAGAAAAAGCATGTGGAAAAAACTGTGAGTTAAAAAATGAGTATTACTTACCAAGTTGGCCATATAAATTGTGAGCAGTCCTCTCCTGCAAAAGATTTAAAAAAGAAATAGAGAATATAAGCTTCAATTTGATTATCATTTTTTGAAAGAATTATCAGGAATTGAGAAACATACCGGTATCTTACGAAAAATGGGCAGACTGTGCTGAACTAAATTTTCAGTATCCTAATAGTTGGATCTAAATACATTTTGTTTTAAATATATTTGACAAATAAAATTGTATGTATTTAGGGTACACAATATCATATTTTTAGATACGATATGTTGTGAAATGATTACTACAATCAAGCTAATTAACATTATCTATCACCTCATATGCTTACAGCAATTCTTGATCTCCTCCTTTCAGAAACATTTTGTAGCACAGGTTTTAAAAAATACTCTTTAAAAAAATGTATCCAGAATCTCACTCCCAGAGACAGATTAAGACAGTTAAGTGAATACCATTCTAGACAAGTTAATATCACTATAAATTAATACCTTATTGAAAATTCATATATACTATTTTGTAATTTATTTCACTTAACTGAGTGCAATGGACACCTTTTTACCTCAATAAATTCATGTCAAAATGGTGATTTCTTAAATTTTTGCCAGCCACTCTCCAGACACAGGACTAATATCCAGAATATACAAAAGCTCAAAAACCATTAGACCCTCCAAATTTAAAGATCCAATTCAAAGATAGGCATCTGACATGAATAGACAATTCTCAGATGAAGTACAAATGGCCAATGAATACATGAAAAAAAGTTTAACATCGCTGGCCATTCCCAAAACACAAATTAAAACACTGAGATTCTATCTCACTCCAGAAAAAACGGCCATCATCAAGACATTAACCAATAGCAAATGCTGCCCAGGCTCTGGGGAAAAAAAAACGCTTCTCCATTGTTGGTGGGAGTGTAAACTGGTACAACCACTTATGGAAATTAATATGGAGATTCCTCAAAAACCTAAAACTAAAGGTTCCATTTGACCCAGCTATTCCTCTTACTGAAAAGTATCTTCCCAAAAGAGTTAAAGTCATCATATCAGAGTGATACATGCATACCCATGTTTATAGGAGCACAATTTATAATAACTAAATCTTAGAAACACTCCATATGTCCATCAACAGATGAATGGATTAAAAAATGGTATTTATATACAATGGAGTACTACCCTGACTTAAAGGATAAACTTGAGTCATTTTTAGGTAAATGGTTACACCTTGAGACCATAATCGTAAGTGAAATAAATTAGACACACACGTTTAAATCTCATTTTGTTTTTCCTATGAGAAATCCAAAGTATAAATAAGGGACAAAATTTTTTTAAACAGGAAAGGGAACAAGGGGAAGAGAGGGAAGAGAGAGAAGGGAAAAGTAATTTAAAGGAAAAAAACTGAAGGAAAAAATTGGAAAGAGCCTTGGCAAATGAGGAGGGCGAAAAGGGTTGGAGGATGAATGTGATCACTACGTACTGCAAAAGTGTCAATAAAAAAAACATGATTTCTTAAAGATACAATTAGTAACTCTTGTTTTTCCATCCTCACATTACCCTCCCTTATTTGCTCTTCCTCCTCATTCCCTTTTCCTTTTCTAATAAGAGTCTCCATTCTACTTTCATGTCATCTTTCTTAGAATTAGGGAAACC